CCGATCCATTCCTGCCACCAGTTTCCATGAGTCAGCCCTATATCTTTATAATAAAGAGTATAGTCTTTGTACCTAAATTTGCTTTTTATTATTTGCAACCAAAGGAGCCGTAAATAATGCAAAGACATGATCAGGTCCAGACTACCTCTCAAGGGTTCAGCAAAGGCTAACTTGTCTCACCCTCTGATGAGCTGCTTCTATAGTTTATCTATTCAGATTCTCCTAATATTGTTACTCACTGTTCTAGGCTGGGATCTAATTAGCCTGGTTTCCAAAGAGGAAGATGAAGGAGTAACAGTTCAGCAGACATTAATTTTGCCCGGCTCTACTGCGTGGTGAGCTATCAATTTGGAACTGCAGCACTGTGCGGCACCGTCCACTCAAGGTCTTGGGGCAGACTATCCTCCGAAACCTATTCTTGTTTGCGGTCATATATCATCATCCTTAGTTTGAGCTAGGCACATGGCCATCCAACTGGAGACTACTTTTCTCTGTCTTACTTGTAGGTATGTGAGGCCACATGACAAAGTTTGGGCCAAAGGGATCAGAGAGAAGTGATGTGTGCCACCTTTGAGTCATGCTCTTGAAAGTAATGTTTTCTCTCCAATTGCTCCTTGTCACTTTTTGGGGCCTGAAACATGACCATATTCATGCGGAGCCATCTTCAACCATATGGATAAAGGCAACCCCTACAGGGATCTAGAACATGGAGACAGAAGGTACCTGGGTTCCTTGACAGAGCTACCCTATGCTTCTGGATCACCCACCAACTCAGACATTTACATAGAAGTCTATTTCTATGTTATTTGAGCAACTGTTGCCTGGTTTTTGTTCAAGCAGCTGAACCAATATTTGAAAGAATATAAACTGGGGTCGCTAGATGAGAAAAGTCTTCTTAATTCTCACCTTGGGCCCTGATTTCTCCAAGGAATTCTGAGTACAGCTTCTAAGAACTAAGCTTGTATTGCCTTTTCTCTAGTTGGAAATGGTAGGTTTTCATTAGAAATGCCAATCATCAACCCTGCAGGCATTCCAGTACTGCCAAATGTGGGTGGGAAGGGAAACAGAATCCCAACCACAAGGAGGACGTCATGCAGGTGAGTAGACACTGGCTGTTGGGCATGCGCTGGGGCAGTACAGGACACCCCACCCCCCGGGGGTTACAGAGAAGAGCATGGAGGTTGGCATAAGTTCAATCATAGTACTATTACACATCAGCCTCGGTCGCCAAACTGCTCAAACAACTCTAGTATCCCAAAGTCCATCCAAAGCAGGTATATGAGAAGTGAGGGAAAACCAACTGAGTCAAATTGTTTTAAAGAAAACCCACTTTTGTCTTTATGGGCAGCTTGTTAATGATGACACAGTCTGAGAGCTGTTTGTTACTTATAACCTGGACTCAGTAGCTTACTTGGAGAATATTTTATTAACTCTTTTGCCGTAAGTGGAGCAGACAATGATGATATCTGAAGGAGAATTTGTTTCTTATAATACGTCAGTTCTGATGTTCATTTCCCAAAGAGCTGATGACCATTTTGCAACTAATCTATTTTTTAGCCTTTTTAAATCAGTGTTAGAGAATTAAGAAAAAGATTTAAAACTTTTTTCAATTTTCCCAAAGATAATACATAGTAAAGACCACTCCAAATGAATAGGAGAGAGGTTGACTTATTATAGACAATGGATG